TTCAATGTTTCTGACCTTCAACCTTATTTTGCAGATAATTCGGATTGGAGGTCAAATCCTTTTCAAGTGGGAGAGGATGATGAGATCATGGCCAGTTCACTTGAACCACACGAAGAACAGCTTGTACCGGAGGAAGCATTGATCGTCCCGGCGGGTCCTCTAACAAGATCAAGAGCCAAGAAGTTCAACCAAGCCATCAATGGATTACTTAAGGAGCTAAACAAGAATCAAGAAGACGTCGTTAATCCTCACTCATAGTGATCACGGCTCAAGAAGATCGGTAAAGGGTTAAGTGTTGCTTATGCACTCTTTTTCCCTTGTCAAGTTTTTTCCCAATGGGTTTTCTTGACAAGGTTTTTAATGAGGCTTAAGTAACATTTTCAAGCCCCTTTATCAATCCAATTCGTGGTCCAAGGCCCACTCACAAAGCCTTGGCCCATTTTCCCTTTTCTCTTCAAACTTTGCATTTATTACTTGTTGTTATTTCCAAGACTCTTGTATGAGCTTGCATGAGTGTAATTTACAAGACACTTGTGCATGCTCTTGCATGTTTTCTCTTGTCTTCTCTCCTCTCCTTCGTCCTCCTTTCTCTATATAAACTCCATGTATCTCTCATTTGCAAAACATCAAACATTTTATTCTAAAACTCTCTCTTTACTTGTTTGATCCGAAAAGTGTGTAATATCTTTTCAACTTGGTTTCTTCTTAGTGTGTAATATCTAAGTTGGATTCAAGCTTGTAGTCTAAGAGTTTCTCATCCCTCTTGGAAGTACACCTCATTCTCCCCTTCTTTCCGCTGCATCCACTCCATCTCGTCATCACCCTCATTCATCGTCATTCCGCTGTTTTGTTCAAGATCTATCTATCATTCACCATCAATCTCGCCACTTCCATTTCAAAACCATCAAAGTAGTCCTTGGAGCATAGATCCACGGCAAGGAGTCTATCATGTGGTATCAGAGCCACTTTGTAACCAGGTTTTGAAGTTCCATCCCGAAATTTCCGTTTTCCAGATTTTTGTTAAATATTGCGTGAATTTTACAAAATAATTAGCTTGTTCAAAAATTGTGAAACCAGTTGCATTTGAACCAGCAAAGAGTCTTTTATTTTCTAAAATTAATTTCGGAAGTTTTAGAGTCGATTTGCTATTTTTCCAGATCCGTTTAGTTTTGTCTGTTTTTGGACAGTTTACTTGTTAAATTTTTGATTTTTCAGGTACAATGGTGACAAGTGAAGAAGAAGAAGAAGAGTCATCTACATCTAGCCTTGAAAGGAGGATTTTGAAATCGGTCACATCCGCAATGAAAAAAATGATCGATGAAAAGATTGGAGCTCTACATTTGCATGAAGTCAATCCGGAACCAAAGCCACCAAACAACACAATTAGATCAACACGGAGCAGTCCACAAAAATTCTCTCACACTCCCAAATCGAAATATGTTTTTCATTCCGATTTGCAACCAGCTAATGAACCCTATAAATTTTCAGGAAAAAGTGACTACCTAAAATGGGAGGAGTGCATGAACGAGTGGTTTCACTACAACTACATCCTTAGAGAGAAGAGATTAGCTTATGCCGTTAGCCAACTCGTTGGAGACGCTCGCCAATGGTGGTTGCAAGAAGTTGATTATCGCTGGTACTACAAGGAGCCGAGTATCACCTCGTGGAGAGATCTTAAGAAGCTGCTAAGGAATAAATATGCTCCACAAGCCAATGCTAAGAAACCAGCCTTATTCAAAGATCACAAGAAAATCCCAACACCCGTGGAGGCTAAGCCGCAGCCAGCCCTTGTTGAGAACTTGATCAAGCCCTATAGAAATAAAAAAATGGAGGATACACCAACATCTCAACCGAAGAAGGTCACCAAACAAGTTGTCATTCACAAGCAAAGTCTAAAACCATCATTTGAATCATGCGGTGAAGCGAAGCAATGTCGTAGTACAAAGCATGAGAATGAGAAACCAATGACGCTCCAAGAAGACGCTAAGAACAACAATAAAGAGAATGAAGAGACTCAACCAAGAGAATGAAGAGACTCAACCACTCGTAGCCGTTCAAAATCAGCAACGCTTAAGCAACAAGGAAGAACAAAGTGAAAACAAAACTAGCTAAGTGTACTAATTTCTCTTTCCAATATGAGTTTGTGCTTGATAAACTAACCAGTTTTGAACCGGAGCAACCGAGTAGCATTGTTTCCTTTTCACAGGTTCATGAAGAAGCAACGCTAGGAAAAACACAAAGGAGTATATCGTTGAATCGTGAGTTGGAACCGCCTTCTAACTTTGAGTCAGAAACTGCTCCTATGCCATTTCCTTGTGACTATCCAAGAAAGCACTGTAAGGAAATTGATTTCGTTAGGAAAGGTCCTAATTTGTTTGTGTTGATTTATCCTCAAGATGAAAAACGTTTTGGTTTGGAAAATATGAAAGAATTTTGTGTTTCAAAATCTGTTTTTGACAAAATGATCCCAACTTTTGAAACATTTCCGCTTAAAAAGTTCTTTAAACCAAAAGATGTGCTATTTGATGAGCTTTGTGATTTTAACTCTTCTAAAACTGAGAATGTATTGGTTAAACCTTTTTCTGAAATGTTTCATTTGCTTGAAAGCGTGATGAATGAATCAAATTTGTTCCATGAGCTTTGCAAACCAACTATGAAGTATAATGCGCTTATTCTTCACTTTTCTATTTCAAGTATAACGCACTTGTTCTTTTTCATGAGTGTTCTAAAAGAAGCAGGTGACATAAAAGAGTATAGGTACTTTGGAGAAGAACTCATTTGTGATGTTCAAATCAAGGAGAATCCACCGGATATACACAACCGATCTCCAAAGCAACGAACTCAAGGTGTTAGGGCAGTCTTGAAGCGTTTTAAAAGAAATGAAACGAGAGAAGAAGATAAACGGTTCAAGCCACCCAATCAGTTGAAACACCAAGACGTCTATAGTTTCATTTTCTTACAAGAAGAACCCTCAGATCCAATGATGATGATAACAAGCTCTAAACATGACAACAACCATATTCAGGTAAGTAACTCCTCATCTCGGTTTATTTCTCATGATTCAAGGACTTTGATTATAATTTTATTATATCAAGAAATTATTGAGAATAAGGTAGTTCTATTCAATGAATATTTGGAACCAAATTCTTGTCTTAAATCTCAAGTGAAAGATAAACTTAAAATGAATACTGATTTGGTCCAAGCTAGAATATTTTTACTTGATTATAGTGACTCCAGAACTGTGATAATACACTTGCTTTTGGCCAAAGGTGTTGGAGACATTGCAGATAATTCGGATTTGAGGTCAAATCCTTTTCAAGTGGGAGAGGATGATGAGATCATGGCCAGTTCACTTGAACCACACGAAGAACAGCTTGTACCGGAGGAAGCATTGATCGTCCCGGCGGGTCCTCTAACAAGATCAAGAGCCAAGAAGTTCAACCAAGCCATCAATGGATTACTTAAGGAGCTAAACAAGAATCAAGAAGACGTCGTTCAATCCTCACTCATAGTGATCACGGCTCAAGAGGATCGGTAAAGGGTTAAGTGTTGCTTATGCAATCTTTTTCCCTTGTCAAGTTTTTTCCCAATGGGTTTTCTTGACAAGGTTTTTAATGAGGCTTAAGTAACATTTTCAAGCCCCTTTATCAATCCAATTCGTGGTCCAAGGCCCACTCACAAAGCCTTGGCCCATTTTCCCTTTTCTCTTCAAACTTTGCATTTATTACTTGTTGTTATTTCCAAGACTCTTGTATGAGCTTGCATGAGTGTAATTTACAAGACACTTGTGCATGCTCTTGCATGTTTTCTCTTGTCTTCTCTCCTCTCCTTCGTCCTCCTTTCTCTATATAAACTCCATGTATCTCTCATTTGCAAAACATCAAACATTTTATTCTAAAACTCTCTCTTTACTTGTTTGATCCGAAAAGTGTGTAATATCTTTTCAACTTGGTTTCTTCTTAGTGTGTAATATCTAAGTTGGATTCAAGCTTGTAGTCTAAGAGTTTCTCATCCCTCTTGGAAGTACACCTCATTCTCCCTTTCTTTCCGCTGCATCCACTCCATCTCGTCATCACCCTCATTCATCGTCATTCCGCTGTTTTGTTCAAGATCTATCTATCATTCACCATCAATCTCGCCACTTCCATTTCAAAACCATCAAAGTAGTCCTTGGAGCATAGATCCACGGCAAGGAGTCTATCATAGTGGGTCTCGCCCTCAGTTTTGGACACGTTCGGAAATCGGGAAATACTTATATTCTTGAAGTTATCTTCGAGAGAAACACTAAGGAGAGTCGGAATCCGATAAAAGGTTAATACCGGAAACCATAAGATCGGTTGTGGGGTGCATATGGGTTCGGTAGTTGCATGAGCATGATCATATGCATAACTTTGTCTGGAAGGATTGTTCGGAGAAAAGGGGACGCGGCTCGGCGAGTGGAATCATTGATGATACTCGACCGAACTGATGCGCGGACTACCTCTCTACCGAACATTCGAACGGGCAGAGTTGCTAGTGTAACTTGCATGCAAAACGATGGTGATTAAGTGAACATGTTACTGATTTCCTATGTGGTTTCAGGGAAAGAAGGTGATCGAGGGGATGAAAGGGCTTAGGCGCGAGGACTCAAGGCCGGGAAGATGAGTGGTGATGGATGCTGGGTAGTTAGATCGATTATACAACTTGTAATAGCCTATATGCAAACTCATAAGTTGTATCGAATCCTTACTTATTAATAAAGTATTTGAATGGTTATTTTACTCCCTATTTGCATATGACTCTAAGTAATGAATCTCAGAATTATTATAAATGGATTGTCTACGGAATGGGCCCTAAAACTTGGTTAAGTATGGAAAGTTGTTATTAGTTCGAAAGTAACCTCTCCGGACTTAGATTATCCGGGATGGGGTCTTTCACAACCTGCCCTTGGTCGAGTTTTCGTATAACAATAGTTACCACTCCAGCATCGGCATGTCCCCATTCGAAGCAATGTATGGCAGGCCGTGTCGGACGCCCCTTTGCTGGACAGAGGTAGGAGAAAGGACGAAGTTCAACAACCAGCTGATCGATGAAACTACGGAGAAGATTCAGCTCATCCGAGAGAATATGAGGAAAGCTCAGTATCGACAAAAGAAGTACGCAGATCGAAAAAGGCGGGAAGTAGAGTTCAATGTAGGCGACTGGGTCTATCTCAAAGTCACAGCCCAAAAAGGAAAGGATCAATTCGGGAAGATTGGAAAGCTAGCCGTGAGATACATAGGTCCGTATCAAATTGAACAAAGAGTGGGGGAAGTAGCCTATCGACTGATCATACCGACCATGCGAAGTTTGAGCCGAAAATAAAGCAATGCATTTCGACCCAAAGCCATAAAATGGCTAAGTATGAAGGTTTATCGAAGCGGATTGCCGGAGGAACAAGGAAGGAACGAATAATGTCGAGATTTCATCATTCATGTCGATGGCCGGTCGAGAAAATCCGATTGTTGCCCGATTCAGTGCATCTGCACTCGACAGCTTTGACACTTGGCAAAATCCGACAAGAAAAACAGAGAAGATCTGAGGAAAATCTCGATCAAAGATTTGGGGGGGGGGGAAGATGCAATGGACGAAATCGGACAAAATCCTTTTTCTTCTCCATGTCTGCCACGTGTCCGGCAGCCAGAGATGGCTTGTTCTGCCAAATCCGAACCTAAAACTGGCCAATGCCTGCGATTTCCGAAGCTGGCTATTTTTCCGAAGCTAGGCTCTATAAATAGAGCCTTCGAGTCTTCATTTGGGCTGTTCACCCAAAATTCTCGAAAATAAAATATCTCCGTCCGATCGAAGGAAGGAATTGCTGCCCGTCGCCGAGGGTTCATCGTCGAAGACCTAAATCACCGAGACGCTGACGCCAGTTTCACCGGAAGAGAGAAGTCCGAGTCGATCTGTCGTCAAAACAGATTTGTGAGTTCATGAAGCATATTTACCGATCTAGATCTGGGACCGAAAGGCTAGATCTGGTATCCGGTCTTGTATAATCATGTAGTTGCATGCTTTAATTTCGTTGAACGTTTCCTTGAAATTATTTATGCATCATGATTGTGGATCTCCGTATTAGATCGTGTTTGTGATCGCAGATCCACTCACAGTGATCTAATACGCGAGTGCTGTGTTCCGATACTTGCTTCTATGTGTGCAATTAAACCATAGATCCCAAGTTATCGATGAAATCTTTAAGGTCTTGTTATGTGGCTTTCGTGACAGTTGTCCGAACCGTAAACATCTCAAGACTTGGATATGTTGTCCTTCGCTGGTTCCGTTCTAGCGTGATTCCCGGTTCACTTCCATTTTCTGGAGTCTCACGCTAGTTCGATGAGCTTTGGAGAGACTTGGTTCGCTACCTTGGCCGAAGCTATCTACACGACGGTGTAGCTTAAAGTGATGTTCCGGTCGTATGCCTTCGTGGCTATGGCTCGGGTGTTCACGATGGTAATGATGTGGAAGGAAACATATCCGGGCCCTAAAAATTTGGATGTAAAACTTGATTAAAACTATCGAGTCGTGTCGTTGTTGGTTTGCTGCTTTTCGCTTGCATACTCTGATTGCTTGTCGGGTGTTTTGTTTTGGGGAAAGGGTGGGGTTTTTCTAATGCGTTTGCAGGGACTCCTGAGCTCACTAAGTAATATTAGATTACTTATGAACCCATTTGTTTTGCAGGAAACCCTAGTGGAAAGGAGTAGTGGCGTGTTGGACTTCGGAACCCGGAGTAGTTTTTGTGCCTTTTGTAAAACAAGTATGTTGAATATGTTTTAAGTTTAAGTATTTGGGCTCTAGGCCTCGGCCGTCAAAACTCTTTTAAAGTATTTCGGTGACTTTGTAAAATATACTTTATCGTAATGAATAATTCGGGTTTCTTTTAAAAACAACGAGTGATGTCTGATAATGACTTAGTCCGAGTCGGCTCAACACTTGGATATCATAAGGGTTGGCAAGCCTAAGTGATATTCCAAGTGGGAAGGTCTCACCGAAGGACTGGCTAAGGTTCTTGATTTGTTCTCGAACCTCGGCCGGATCGTTGGTGAGTACTTTCAAAGTAGCGTCTCCGGGTTGTCCGTGGCTTGTCCGGCCATAGGACGATTCGGGTGCGTTACAAGGAGAGTCCCAAGTTATTTCTTAATCAAAGAGGAACCACCAGATTTCAAAGCTCAAGCAAAACCCCGAGAAGGAGCTAACCACGTTACACCATCAACCGTTGTACTAGATCAAAACCGAGGAGTGATCTTTACTTTCTTGCTCAAAGGAGAGCCACCGGATGCACCATGCATCATGAAGACAGAACAACACCAAGGTAAGACATTGAAATCTCAAAATCGCATGAAAGCTAACTTGCTTTCTCTTGGTGCAGATTGTACAGTTTCGAGGTCGAAACTTTTTCAAGAGAGAGGGTATGATGCGGACATCAGAACTAGATCAGACCAAGAGCACACCAAACCGGTCTACATGGAGAATTTTGGAGAATCTTTGTCTAAGTGGAGTTCTGATCAAGTACCAGGTGAAGGGTTAATTATTCACCATGATATTAACCCTAAGAAGTCCGACAGTTCAAGAGGGATAAAAAATCAGCAAGTCAAATCACCTTATTATTGGGATATGACTGTTGCACTCTTTTTCCCTTATCTAGGGTTTGTCCCAATGGGTTTACCTAGAAAGGTTTTTAATGAGGCAACACCAAGTCATCAAGGAATCATTCACCATCCATATGATTCAAAGATGATAGCTGATGTACATTCTGATCTACTCGTGGACAAGCATGCAGAACTACTCGCTGACAAGCATGCTGAACTACTCGCTGACCGACTGTCTGAACTACTCGCTGACCGACTGGCTGAACTACATCAGATTGCGAGCTGTGAGGATTTCAAGTCTTTTAACACTTGGATCAGCCATGAAGGGAGTCCACACACTCATTTCATTCACTACAAGGCCCAGCCCATGGAGAACATCCCAAGAGAAGACCCAAGTCCAAACCACCCTTTGAATCAAGGCCGTTGATTTACTTGGAGCGAGATAAGGAAATTATCCTTTACTTTGATTTGGACGTGCCCCAAATTCATATATGGAAACCAAGTGAATATCTAGACCACACAAGACTTGTGCAACACGACATTTGGTACACCTTTGCACACAAGAACCCGATGAGTCACTACTTACCATCCATGGAGCCAAAGGAGATCAAGGTGGAAAGACTCCTTCCTTATTCACTTATGCACGTCTTGAGGCTTCCTAAAATGAACATAGACACTCCAATGAGTCATGGATTCGCCCCCAAGCTTTCAAGACTCAAGGCATCTCTCTACTTGCCTTATTTTGCCGATTTGGTTCATAAAGTCCCAACGGCAAGTGTAATTAATTTTGAGCGATTTGTTTCTTATTTTACATTATTAGGACATGTAGCTGAGCCTATATAAGCTCATTAGATTGTTCATTTGTAAGCACCCTTGATCAATTTAAAGTAATAGAAAGTATTCTTCTTGTCAAAGTTTGAGTCTTTGTCAAT